GTCCACATGAAAAAAAATGCACAAATCAAAGAAATTAGCAAGAATGCACCGGAACATTGAGGACCTTCGATCAGACAACCCAAATGAAAACAAGATAAGAAATGGTGAAAGTCGCGCACAAAAATACAGTGACAATATGTTCTACAGAAGTGCAGTCGGCATAATATAAAGAGCACGTACAAGGTTTCGAAGTGTTAGCAACACTACTCGACGACATGACCGAACACAACTTGGAAAACAGCACAAAGTCCAAAATCACAAGCAGATCACAGCATAACTGCACATCCTCTTACATTTTCCAGAAAGATGATCATCTCAAACAACTTAGTACCTGTGGGCCAGTTTTTCCTTCTCCTTGAAATTCTGAACATAACTGCACGTGATCATATCGGAATATCAGCTAGAAGGAAAATGCAAGGTAGCAAAAATAGAGCATGTCAACTGAAAATGGTACAATGAAAGTTAGAGCCCCCTGGTATTGGGAAATTGTGTTGGGAGCAGGCACATGTTGCTCAGAAACAAGCAGGTTAGAGTGCAAGAATGTCACATACTTCACAAAAGCTATTATAGCTACAAGTAGCAGGCAACGAATTTCTCTGCATATGATAATTACAGGAAAATCCATGCAACTCATGCAAACAAATATCTTTTCGTGGGGCCCAAGAAAGATATACTATTGGTACACAACAATTAACAAAATTGTAGGATTTCTCTACAACCATGGATGCAGACGATTCTTCAACTCCAAAAGAGGACCACATTGATCAGCTAGATCAAGGGCCACAGAGAGGCCTACATAAATGTCAGAGCTGTGAATTAAATGTGGATTCTCATACCGAAATCCTAATTCCTAATCCAATCATATATAGAAACTAATGCAGATATACTATACAAATTTAAACTGAATACAGGTAAACATAAAATTTGTTCCAAAAAAATTGGTACAGATACGAATATCAAGGTATTAAACAGAAGTGCAAACCAATCTCATTCAAGTCTTTTTTAACTTACTGATCCATTCAATTCTTTTTAACTTCACAACAGACATGAAATCCAGTTCCTAGGGATCATTGTATGAGTGCATTCGTTTTTTTTTTTTTTTTTTTTGGT